AATCCACTTCTATATGTTTCGTTCTCTCATGAAAGACCGGATTTGCCGCTAATTTGAGAGCGGCATCATTATCACAAAATAGTTCGCTTGGCCCATCAATTTGTACCCCAAGATCCGAGAGTAGACCTCGTATCCAAATTATTTCACAGACTGTCTTTGCCATAGCTCGATACTCAAATTCAGCTGATGACAGTGAAACGGTTGACTGTTTCTTTGTCTTCCATGAAATCAGTGATTTTCCAAGCTTGATGCAAAATCCAGTAATGGATCTTCTGGTCATTGGGCAAGTAGCATAGTATGTGTCGCAGTAGGCTGTCATCTTCATGTTGCAATCACGAGACAAGAATATACCAAGTCCTGGGCATCCTTTTAAATACTTCACAACCTTCAGTGCTGCATTCATGTGAGACTCCTTTGGACTGTGCATGAATTGGCTGAGTATCTGCACTGAATAGCATATATCGGGTCTTGTCATGGTGAGATATATTAATTTCCCAACGAGCCGCTAATATGCCGATGGATCCTTAAGCAATGGATCTTCGATGGATGAAGATGATCCCACATCATAGTCATGTGTGGTCAATTTTGTATTCTGCTCAATTGGTATAACAACTGGTTTACACCCTGACATTCCTGCTTCTGAAACAATTTCCAAGATGAATTTCCGCTGACTAAGGCTGATTCCTTTATCGGATCGAGCAATTTCAATGCCAAGAAAATATTTGGGAGGTCCCAAATCTTTAATGTGGAAAGTGGAGTGCAGATATTCTTTGAACTTCTTAATATGGGAGCCATTATTACCCATAATAAGTATGTCGTCAACATATATCAACAAATAAATTGATGAAGTGCCTCCAGTCCATGTGAATAGGGCGTAATCATGTTTGGAATGCTGAAAACCTGCATTTGTTAGTGCAGCAGTGAATTTGGCATACCATTGCCTGGAGGCTTGTTTAAGCCCATACAGGGATTTACGGAGGCGACATACACGAGACTCCCCCTGGCTCCGTAAACCCTGTGGAAGTTCCATATAAATTTCTTCTTCCATATCGCCGTGAAGAAAAGCGTTGTGGACATCCATTTGATGTAGTTGCCAATTACGAATAGCAGCAATTGATAGAAAGGTACGGACAGTTACCTCTTTGGCGACTGGAGAGAAGGTTTCATGATAATCAAAACCTTCTCGTTGCATGAATCCTTTAGCAACTAAACGAGCTTTGTATCGTTCGACGGAGCCATCTGCCTTGAATTTGATCTTGTATACCCATTTACATCCAATGAGTTTCCGATTAGGTGGTAATGAGACAATATCCCAAGTGTGATTCTCTGTGAGGGCAGTAAGTTCTGCCTCCGTCGCTTTTTGCCATCGAGGATCACTTGCTGCTTCATTGTATGAAGATGGTTCTTGTTCCTCTGAAATACAACTAATACAACACATATGTTCTGTTGATAGTCGACTAAATGAGACATATTAGGAAATAGGATATTGTGTACCTGGGGAACTCAAGGTAGAACATATGTAGTCCTTTGTCCAAGTCGGAGGACGAACATGCCGTTGAGAACGTCGAGGTTGCTCAGTTAATTTTTGTTCAAGAACTGGTGAAGATTGCACTTGAGTAAATTTTGATGGAGATTCCACTGATGAATCAACCAAATGAACGTCTTCAGATGATAACACGGGTGAATCAGCCACGTGATTCAAGGTATCCCTTATAACTGGTACAGAAGGGTTCGATGCTATGAGAATATGTTGGGAAGCCATAGATAAATCTTCGTCGAATAAGAAACGACGGTTGTCCGAGGATGAGAGAGATGATGAAGACGTCATCTCTTCAAAAGGGAAACTATCCTCGTGGAATATAACATCTCTGCTTATAAAGAACTTCCCTGTAGAAATCTCCATAACTCGGTACCCTTTTTTGAAGAGGGGGATATCCCGTGAAAATACATTGTGTGGCACGGGGATCCATTTTATCCCGATGGCCCACAGTTGTTGCATAACATAAATAGCCAAATATTCTAAGGTGATCAATTCCCGGCTCTTTTCCATAAAGCATTTCAAAAGGAGTCCGTCCATCAAGAATTCGAGTAGGCATGCGGTTAATTAAATAGGCTGCAGTGACCACACAATCTCCCCAATAATTTTCGGGAATTGAAGCTTGGTATTTGAGTGCTCGAGCTACCTCCAAAAGATGTCTATGTTTGCGTTCAACAATTCCATTTTGTTGGGGAGTGTAAGTGCAAGAACTTTCATGCAGTATCCCATGAGAGGATAGAAAAGATATGCAATCAGTAGTAAAGAATTCCTGCCCATTATCTGTACGAATTCGCCGTACAGATTTGTCAAATTGATTTTTAACTAGAGAAATGAATTTCGACAGATTGGAAAAGGTTTGATTCTTGGATTGCATAAGGAAAACCCAAGTGGCACGAGTATAATCATCAACGATTGTGAGGAAAAAATGAGATCCATCACGATGTGGGGTATGATAGGGACCCCAGATATCCATATGGAGTAAAGAAAATGCACTTTTAGCTCGTGACGTACTGATTGGGAAAGATGCTCGAGATTGTTTGACCAAAGGACATATTGGACACTTTGGATGAGGAAAACGCGCACTATGGCCCAAACGTTTATGAAGAAGGAGATTTTTATTACCAGTGGCTGCAATACAAGAAATGCTTTTGTTCAATAAATCTAAACCTCCTGAGCTATCAATCCAGAAATATAATCCTTGTGCAACATTACCCAAGCCCATCAGTTTGCCAGTCCAATGGTCCTGAAAGAAGCAATTTTCGGAACTGAATATGGCACGACAAGAATTATCTTCGCAGGCCTTTGAAAACAGATAGGAGGTTGAATTCAAAATCAGGAATATATAGGACATTTTTAAGGACAAAATTTGGTGATAAGAACCGTGCCAATTTTGGTAACATAGGTGATGTTCCCAATTGGAAGACGTGCTGATACGGAAGATTCTGGTCCTTTGTGAACATGGGAAAATAATTGCTCATTGCAAATTATGTGGTCACTAACACCCGAATCAATTATCCACGCATCAATAGAATTCGTCTCGCAAATAAGAGTACCTGAGAAATTCGCATCCTTGTCGTTGGCCTTCAACTGACTGAGAGCTCTCATAATATTTTGGTACCGGTCCTGATTAATTGTCTGATGCGCCCCATCGATATTTTGTGCTGAAACCTGGTAAGCGGAAAATTCTTTTTCCTTTTTGTCTCTATCATTCGGTTTTCCATGTAATTTCCAGCATGTATCAATAGTATGACGTGGGCGTTTACAATATTCACAATATTTACCTTTTGATTTGAAATTTTGCCCACTAACCTTTGATGATGTGGCATTTCGTGGACCGCTGGTTGTCTTATAAGCAGGCATCAACGTGGCCTGATGAAAACCGTTGGATTCGGTTGAGCTGATGGGAAAAAAATGGCCGTCTGATCTTGTCCGCGAATCCCAGCCGTCCGATTTCATTCGCTAATCCCAGCCGTCCATCCCAATGTTTTTAGGGTTTTCATCATTTTCCTTAGCTACAGAGGACTTTCGTTGAAGTCCAAAAGACCAGAGACTTCCACGGCTTTCATCTGCTTGTTGAGACCCAGAAAAGCCGAGACCTCCACGGCTTCTATTCATTGGTTCCGTCGGAGCAGCGCCAGATGGGAAAGCAGCAAGGGCGACGCCTTCACCTACCGTGCATGTTCGGCCGCGGCCAACCGTTGGCTTTCCTCTTGGACAGCCAATTGGAAGATCCGGCCAAGCGACGCATCGGGGTCCATGGCGAGGATTTGCGAGCGGAAAGGTGAGTAACTTTCGTTGAGGCAAAATGAGTCCTTTATATGTCGGAGCGTTTCTTTGGTCCTTCGCTCTTCGGCCGCCTCGAGCTCATTCCATAGCGAGAGTCGAAATCGGCGCGGCGGCCGACCGTGGTTCAAGGGACGCCGGTTCGGTTCCAATTTTCGGTGGGTATCGTCCGGTTCCGGTTCGTGTCGAACCGCCCACCCGCCCACCCGGACCGGTAATATAATAATAATATATTTATTTTTTAAAATTTTAATTAAAAAATTTGACCAAAAAAAAAAACTAGACACTCATAACTCTCTGCTCTCTTATCTCTGGACACTCATTTGATGGGTCCACTTGATTTATGGATGATGTGGTTAATAGAACCGATCTATATAGGAATTGTATGGAAAGTTATGTTCTTTTTTTTTCTTTTTGTTCCATTGATCCGATGTTGGTCCACATATTTTTTTTATTTGTCAAGGAAAACTTGGTGGGACCGGTTCCATGGACCCGCCGGAACCGGACGGACCGGCGGTCCGGTTCCGGGCGGGTCCATGGAACCGACGGCGTCTCTCGGTCCCAAAATTGAGGACCAACACGTGCGGGTTGGTCCTAGGGTTGGGGGTGGACCGGCCACCCGGACCATGCTCACCCTAATTGAAGCAAGCGATAACCGACAAGTTCCCTTGCTTCAATTCCGACAGAGCTGTATGAGTGAGAGAAAATCTTGGCTCGGTCAAGTTTTCCATACATTTCTCGGATATTATCCCAAATCGTCTTCGAGTCTTCAGTCGGTGGTAGTCCGGCTGCAACGTCGGGGGTCAAACAATTTCCGATCCATGTGCGGACGAGCTGGTTGCATTTGCGCCAGTGACGTTGTAATCGATCGTCGGATGGGAAGGGTACGGTTCCGTCAAGGAACCTATCTTTATCCTTCGTGACCAAGGCTCGCCGGAAATCTCGAGCCCAGGAGCTATAATTTTCTGGTCCGGTGAGTTGCATATTGATGAGTTGCAATTCGGGTCTGTCGGCCGGCGATGTATAGAGCGGGTCGCCCGGCTCCGAGCGGCCGCCGGGCTCCGGGCGGCCGCCGCTAGTCGGAACAACATAGGGCATGAAACCGGGTCCCAATACCGGGTAGGGATTTCCCCCTGGACCTGGACCCGAACCCGGCGTCGGCCCACTTTCATTGGGCTAAGCTCCGGGATTTGGAGCTCCCGTGACGTGTATTGGGCCTATAATTGATTAGGCCCGATGGCCCATGGACCTTGCACCGGAAACCATTGGACCGGTGGCCATTGGACGGGGCCGGGAATCTGAGCAGCAGAAGTGATAGCAGGATCCGAGTCAGCAGCTGTAGCAGAAGTAGGAACGGCAGAAGATCGTTCCTCTTCAGTTAAATCAATTTGATCCGAGGCTTGATTTTGAGGTGAGTTCGAACTGTCTTCCATCGAAGGGTTCTTGGGCATGGTATTGTTGATGAATTCCTTTCCGGTTGCTGATCTGTTTTGCAGGACTAAACTTGCAACAGCAAATCAGAAAAAAAAAAAACACGGAGGCAATTTGAAGGACTTTTCTGCGAAAGCTAGGTCAAGAAAGACCGCTCTGATACCACGACAGAAAACAAAGAAAATGGAGGAAATTTTGTATTGTATTGATCTGAAAAGAATACATGTACATTGGTCTATTTATAATGCTAGAAAGAAGAAAAAACAGGAAATAATATACAAGATTACAATTTCCCATTTTACTAACTAATCATGGATTGACTAAATCAATCGAGTCCTCAATTAGGATCATCCAAATCTTCAATAGTATCAAATCGTATCTCCAACACATTTTCATGATTTTATGTCGATTCACTCTATCAAATTTTCTCGTTCAAGATTGATGCAAACAACGATCATGAATCCATTGAACGTGAGCAAAGATGAGACGAAAGATCGATTTGATTTGATTTGATTTGATTTGAGGCGAAACCATTTGATCATGTCTTCTTCTCAAAGAGAGAGAGAGAGAGCCCCTCATTTCACTTCATCCCGCGTGTCAAAGGGGCCCAATTTGTCTCCACCCGTCGTCTCCATCTCCATCTCCATCGTCTCCTCCCGGGCCCAAACATGACGTGGATCCAGATCGGACAGATGCCTTTTCCAACGCGGTCGGCGCCGCGCTTGCCACGTGGCGTCCTCCCATTCGCCTGGAGCCCTGCGGTGGGGGCCCACATGGGGGCCCAGCTGGTGGTGGGCCCGCCTCCACCACCCAAAGCCCGATCAAGGTCATCCCCCCCGGCCCGCCGCTCCGCCACTCTGCCTTCGCAGAGCAAAGAAATTGTTCGCCCCAAAACGAGAAGTGAATTAATTATTCTCCTTTTTATCTTGCAATCGTCGGATGATATTTTGCCAAATTATAGCGTAAAATCATGGTTTCGGTACAATTCAAGCTTTCGAAGTGGCTTCTAGCGGTTTCGGGAATTTTCCGAAAATCAAGAAGCTCATCTGATTAATTTTTTCTGAATGTTTAGAGTGGTTCACCAGCATGTTCCATTGTGATCGTGATCATATCAAATTTCACATCAAACAAATGAGTCGGGCCATCTAGCACACGGAGAATACGCAAGACATTAACCAATCAAACGACTTTTTTTTTTTTTTTGTGGATCCAATCAAAGGCAAAAACTCTTAACTCCTTCCACGAGCACATTGGAAAACCCTTTGATGGTTTGCACGATGATGAATTCTCTTTCACTTGCTGAGTCTAAGTCTAAGCAAGATTGCCTCCCACTTACCTATTTGATTTTTTTCTCTATTCCCACCTTTTCTTTCATCTTTTGTTTCTCAATTTTGGGCACTTTTTTTCTTATCACGTCCTTTCTGACATGTATCAGAGGCACATGGTTGTGTCAATGTCAATGGCTAATAAAACTTCTGCAATTGGAATCTGTAAAATCTTTCGTTAGATTCATCTCATTTGCTTTTCACCGGTAGCGTTAGGGAAGTCAAGATTACTGCAAGAGAAAAAGAAGTCAATAATCTGGAGGAAGAGCTGGTCAGGGGTCTGGCAACATATTGCACCCGCATTTCGAGAAAAACGATGAAAACGCCAAAATCCCAAGAGCCATATTCTCCAAGTGAGCCGCCCACTCATCTAATCAGCTAGTATCCCTCGACATCTCCTATATAAACCTCTCTCCATTCATGTCATCACCAGCTCATTCGTTCTCCATAATTTACTTTCCTATTCTTTCCCACTTGTCACTGCCAAATTTCGTTTGCCTTCATTTCTTTGGAGTGAAACAAATCAGTTTCTCTGAAGTTCCTATGGCATCTGTTGAGGTAACTTTCCCCGTTCAGTGCATTCCCATCCTGTTCATGAGTTCTTGTTTTTCTTGTCAGTTTATGATTTGAACCCATTTGCCTCCATCGAGGTTGAGTGGAGTTTGAGCAACAAAAATCAGCAAAATCGGTTTTCTGCAAAGATACTAAAGTGCTGGACCCAATAAAACTTTATAGTCTTCGGCTCGAGCAACCTGCATATGTAATGTCCTAGACACACAGATGATCTCAAGTTGCAAACCTCAACTTTCACAGTCGACAGATGAGTAATGCTTGAGAATTAAGATAGTAGATGGTCTACAGAAACTTGTTTTAAAAGTGATGTGGCAGATGGTGAATAAGTATTTACACTAGTGGGTCATATTCAGCATTAAAATAGATTCTGTGGCTCAAACAAATTTGGTGAACAAGCCTTTATATGCATAGCAGTTGTTCATCACAGAAAATGACTCATTGCAACAAACACCATGTCACGCAGGTTGAGTCAGTGAGCACAGCACTTCCAGTGGAGAAAACTGAAGAACCAATCAAGCCTCAAGAGGAGGTGGTCGAGCCGCCCACACAAGAGGCGCTTCCTGAAGAGCCAAAGGAGGAGGAGGAAATTACTGTAGCAGTAGCCGAGGAAATAGTGACCACCGAGGCCAAAACACCGTCTGAAGAAGCTGAAACTAGAGAGCTCACAGGACAGGCCGAAGTTGTCACACAAGAGTTGAATGTAGTGGAGAGTGAAGAGGAAACACCAAAGGAAGTCACGGTTGCAGAGGAGGCTGCAAAAGTAGCACCTGAGACCGAGCCAGCATTGGTTGTGGAGGAGACTGCGGAGGTAGTGCTGGAGTCCACAGTTGAGGAGACTCCAAAGGAGGCTGCCGAGCTGGTGGTGGAGGAGAAGAAAGAAGAAGTATCAGCAGAAGCTGTTGATGTTTCGGTTCCAGAAGCTGAACCAGAAAAACCAAGAGAGGAGGTTAAGGAAGAAGAGAAACGGGCGGTTATCGAAGAGAAAGATGGCGGAGAAGTTGCAGCTGAGAAAACCGAGTAGCGATCAAGTGACGAGAGGAGAGCAATCTGATTGACAGATGGAGGTTTGCGTGAGGATTGAAACCGTAGCTAATGCTTTGGTCTGTATGTTGCTGTACTTTTTAAATTTGGTTGTGTGATGATAAGAGTCGCTGCGTCATGGATTGTATTCACTCTTGGAGAAGAGACTTTGCTTCATATTATGTGCATGCCTTGCAGATAGAACAGGCAACTGGTGCATCTGTGGTACGAGACGAGAGATGTTTTGTAAATAATGGGATTTTGGAGTTTCTCCTAACTTACCCTTTCTTTAGTAGTCTTCTGTTTCACATGAGATGGACAATTAACACTTCCATTTAGCTGCAAGGATCGATATTGCAGCACAGAACATTGAAAAAGTAAGTCTACAGTTGATCCGATCAAGGTTACCGACATTAAAGACTGATGTGAGGTCAATGTACCGTGAAGCGCAAGATATGTAAGTTATCTCCCTCCGGGTTGTAGCAAGATCAAAGCTTTGTTCAAGCACCCAAAGATCTCCATTACACATTGGATATATTCCACCCTGTCGTGATCCGAGATCAACCTCGAGGGATTTAATTGATTGCAAGGCAAGCACGAGTTACTGTCTTTCGAAATAGCGTCTACGCTTTGCATGTATTCTCTCAAATTCTACTGATTGCAACTTAATTTCTTACTGATTACAAACAAAGTGAGACTATAGTGGTCATTAACTTATTTTAGGCTGGTTAGAAGCCGAGTAGAGACCACCTTATACAAACTAGAAATTTAGGATAAATAATTGAAATCGCCTAAACTCCTCGCATATCCTTTAAAGCAGAGGTAAGAACGAATGCAAACACAAATAATCATGACTAAAGGCCTGAAGAATGCTGACAAAATGAAAAGTTGCCATTGATCTATCAGGGATGACTCGGATCAATTTGAACTCGATCAATTCGAGTTGTGAGTCGAACCGCGGGCTGATTCTCCACATCTTTTATTCATTGTAAGCTAAAATTGCATGAAAACATGCCTCACATGACAAAACACGCATTACTCAACCGTAAAACGGCTGAAGTTGCTAAGGGTATAGTCGAGGATCGGCTCAGAGTGGCCAAGCGGACCGAGAACGACGGTCCATTGTCCAAACTGAAGATCAGTATGAACAATACGTATTCAGCCTGAATTCTGGGCTCGAAGCACCTCCGGAATGAGCCTTAATGACCTTTGGATGACCCTATGATGTATCCGAATCAAACCGGACCGCCTTTTAGAATATTTAATATTTACAGTTATATCAATGACTTCGTCATTTAAGTATGAGTTTTTCCACCCATTGTGGTGATATCTTTTCAACTATGTGAATTCCCATACTTTCCTATGCGTGCTGCATAAACCTGTCAAAATTGGTCATAGATCCATTTCTTAACCTATATTTAATGGGCTAAGTTGTTAAATGAGTTAGTTATATTTAATAAATAAGTTTAGACAAAACTTATAGGTCATAAATGGGTTTTATATATGTATCAAATGGGTTCACAATTTATTTAGAACTAATCGACCTTTATAACTCTCTCTTCACTCTCACTCTCTCTCTCTCTCTCTCTCTCTCACTTGATCTCGGACTCGCTTACTCGGTACCTTCACCTTAGCTTGGGTGTGAGTTTTCCTAAATTTGTTTAAATATAAAAATATTTTAGTAATATCAGTCGGGTTGGGTATGAGTAACTAGATTTGTATTGTACGAAAATGGGTCAAAACGGGTTAACTGGGTCAATTTAGGTCGGACTATTTTTAACCCGATCCACCCATTTGACAGGTCAGTGCCGCGTAAGCATAATGAATTGAAATAATCCCTCCTAATCATGTAATCGTTACTGTAAGTCCAGATTAGCCTAATTAGTCAACATATAATTCATATAAAGATGTGCCATTTGGAAGAGAGTCATTACATGTAGCTGAGATAGACCTCTTTACATGTCCACTAATAAATAGTCGGGATAAATCCATTGTAAATCTTACAATTTGTCATAAAAGGGCAATTTAGTCCTAAAACTTTCAAAAAGTGCAATTGAATCCTAAAACAAATTATGAAAGTGTAATTAAATTCTAAAAACTTTCAAAAAATGCAATCAAATCCTAAAACTTGTTACGAAAATGCTTAAATCTAGGTGTTTGCTCCTAAAAGTGGAGCACTCCGCAAGTCTCCAAAACTCCTCTCCTGAGCGTATTTGAAAGTGATATTTTGATTTACTGGTATCTGTTTTGTAGCTTTTTTTCTTCCGATTTAGAGTTAGATTTAAATTGGGTGCTCTTCTATCCCGATTTAGATATAAATATGGGATTTACATATTGGTGATCTTTTAACATATTGGTGTTGTTATTGTCTCTAAACGATGATAGTGTTGGGGATGCCGAACCGAAGTGCGCACCACCTTGTGGCAAAGCCGCAGATACTAAAGAGGGAAATGTCGGCATGTACTCATCATTGATGAGGATGCGAGTTTTGATGATTAGCCGTTAGTTGTGCTATGATGCTATGACAACTCCGTTCTTGTGAAATGAGTGAGTCTCTGCAGGGGTACCAAGTTGATTCATTTTTCAGATTTGCACTGGACCGTAACTCTTTGGTTTTGTCTTGAAGTTATGTATATCTCCTTCATGTGAAATGAAAATTTTCCTTCCGACTAAAAAAATTAAACTTTGGTAGTTAACAATTAATTCAAAAGTTCAAATTTGAAGTCGTCTTATTTTAAGTCGAATTCAGTGAAAGCAACTTTATTATTTTGAAAAAATCACAGGAACAAACACTCAACCGCTAAATCTTAATCCCCACAAATCCCTCTCTTTTTTTGTCACAAAATTATCCATTCACGTTCAATAACCAACACTGTTAGAACATAATTGTGGGCTTCAGAACATTAGATATCCCATAGGGGCTGGGGAGGTTTACACAGCTAATTAAAAGGGAGGGCCTTTTCATGATGGGCTATATTGATCTAGTTCACAAGTTGATTGTCCTCACGGGGACAATGGGCTATTCAAAAATCATAAATAGATGTAGGCAAATTGAGTTGATAAATTTAAAAGACTTATAAAAAAAAGTCAAATAAAAGTTAATAAGTAATTCAAAAAAGAGTTAATAATCCGAAACTAGTAGGTAATTTAAGCGGAAAAAAGTTGGTAAGTTATTGTTTACACAAAAAATAATCAAGTTGTTGACATAGGCAAGCACGTGTTTAGTACATGAACTTGGATAATCATGATACCATCATACACGTGACTTATTGTTGACAACCTTATTGATATTAGCAACCAACGTTCGCACATATTGATGACACATGTTGATGGATAATACCAATCAGTTATCGATACATGGTGACGAATGACTAGAGACCATCAACAAGTGTGCCGATGAGTAGAAGACTGTGTACAATTCGTTAAATAGATAAGGAGCGTTGAGATACAATTCAAGGTTCGGGGTTGCTATAGGACAAAGTGATTAGAACGATGAGGCAACTAGCAAGCATTGGCACGAGGAGTAAAATGAGTATGAATGTGAGCTCAAGATCACCGTACTGGACAGTTGAGATTGTGGAGCAACTGACGTGAACATTTTGAGAGAACAACCATTTGAGAACCAAATTTCGAGATTGTGAGAATGCAGGCACAAGATTTTCTGAATGAAAGAACAAAGGAACAACCACTTGGAGGCACAATCATGGGGCAGTTTACACCCATAACCGTTCAAAAACAAGGTCAGGAGATCACGAAGGCATAGACGCGAGACTTTCACGAATAAAGGAGCATAGAGGCAGTCGATGGAAACCGCTTGAGAGGAATGCAACCGCTGGATACTGCTAGGGAGTATGTACTTACACAAACATTATAAATACCACTTGTCATCCACTAAGAAGCCCCCGGCACAAATCAAGCAAAATTTACTATCCTGCACTATACTTCTATTTTTCAAAATCGTGCCGTCGATTAAATTTCAGCATGTTTTTTAGCTATAATTTTCAAATTCCCATCATTGATTAAAATCTGATGTGTATGTTTACCTTGCGTACTCAGGCTTTGTCATCGATTAAATTCCGACATGATTTGCATTTGTATATTTTGGTTTAAAGTAAAGTTGTTGGTTTCTTCATTTGGTTGGATATCTTCTGTCCGGAGTTAATGCAGAACTCATTTCCCCTAATAAAAATCGAAAAATCAACTTTTGGTGAAAGGTATTTCGTCGCGGTAGAAATTCTGGCAAAACAGTTACCCAAATAAAGATTTGTAAATTCATATATAGTTTTTTTTTTTTTAAATTTATGACATTGCTAAGAAAGACAAATAACAATCGGCACTAAATTACAAAACGTTGTTAATATGCAAATAGAGAAAAAAAGAGTAGGTAATTTCGTTAAAGTACATGTAAGTAACTAACAAATTATCGATAAATCAAGTGACAGGTAATTTTGTTTACCAACAATTTTTGACGATTACAAAGTCCTTTAAAAATCTACCAACACGGAAAAGAAAATTTGTTTTTTTAGAACAAAATAGTAGAATCGTCAGTGGAAAAAAGAAAAAGAAAAGAGAAATCCGCCATTTAACACATCTGGGTAGGACTAATCTTGTCTAGGTGCGTTCTTTGTTACTTTCAAATTTGACAAGGCATGGGTCCAATTTTCATTTATGGGACGGTGACCTTATAAAGTAGTTTCGTCCCTTCCGTACCTTTCTTTTCAAAGCATAAAGGCAATAATCATAAGACTCCCCTCCTGTCTTTCGAGATAATTTCCTCGCAATTAAAGGAGATGCGATTCATTTATTTTTCAATTAAGCTAGTATATTTGATGGCTTCTAAACTTCTCCCAATCGAGCCAAGAAAATCTAGAATAAAATCAAATCTCATGGTGAATCTCCTTGGTTAAGCAGTTAGCAAATGTTATAAATGGAATCTCATTGTGAATCTCCAAGCAAAATGTGTTTCCTTGTGTGTCTGGACAACGAAATAATGGCAACTATTCATCGGGGACGAGCATTATGCCACCAAGTGCAGGAAACTTTTTGATCCCTCGATTTTTTTGTGGCTTTTCGAGCACTCAATTAAATTTCACAAAGTATAATCATGTTCATCATATTATTACCAATCGTATCCCACAAATTTGTGCAGCAAAGGGAGATAAAATGAACCGAGGTACCGACGAGAAAGACGAACTTGCTTATCGGATGACTATATTCGTGGAGGTTCCGTACAAGACCTGCTTAACGCGTCTCATCCAATACAAAAACATGAACCACATCCATTGTAGAGGCACT